ACTATCGATTGGCATTCAAATCTGAAATTTATATATATAATGTAATGTATATAGTGTATTGTTATATATATATATATAATTAGGTAAAGGTCCCACTCTTAGCTATGGCCGTACCTGCCTGTATTGGGTCATAGCCAGCTTTTACTGGGTCTAGTTTAGTTGAACTGACTTTGATATTTGGTTAACCAACGTTTGCTCTAATCGGGCTAATATTAGTAGGATTTAATGAACCTAAAAGATAAAGGGCACATTAGCTGGATCAGTGGCAATAAGACGTGATGGTTGTCCGAAACGCGTAGCAGCTGGAAACGCAAAAATGTTTGGAAACGTTGCCAATCCCGTCGGAGAGGCCTCCAAACGGGCGGCCGGTGCGAAGGCAGCATTATACTGATTAACGTAATCCAGCCGAAAGGCGTTGCAGCTGCCCAAGTTGGCAGCTGCAGATTGTCACGCATTTGGATGCACAATTAACCAAATTGCATAGGTTTTATAATTTGCATAAGGTTTGATATCGCATGTGATATAGACAATCGATGTGGTTACAGCATGTTATTGACACCTCCTTTTGGGCAGCCTCTGATTTGAGCGCGGCTCCAATTAAACTCAAGCGAAAGAACTCAACTTTAAGGGAAAATAAAACCTAGTTGCGAAATGAAATCAAATAGAAAATCTCAAAAAGTATAATAACTATATGCAATAATATTTACCTAATACAAAAGTACTGTCTGCAGCAGTAAGAAACGTTGCTCAGAAATCTATATACTTACATACAAATATTAATCGGCATTGTCAGGTCGAACTATTTTTCGTTAAAACTAAAATCAGTCTTGCTCGTATTTTTCGATCGTGGGCTGGATTATACGAAATCGATGAGTAAGAGTAAAAAGATGTAAGCTTTGTATGCTCGGTTCACGTTTTAATTGATAGAACAAATATACCATAATAATATTAACTATTGTATTCGTATCGTATAAATTTATATCTGGCATAGTAGGTATATATCTCAATATTTGATAGCTGCTTGGTTAGGTGTTACCTGTTGTTCGTTCAGTTGTTCGTCTTGTTATAGGCGCTTTAATATAGTGTATTATGTCTATATATGTAGTTAAATAATAAACACTTTAGGCTAGTTACAATTCGTATGGTATGTTAGACGATTTATATGTAGTATGCACTTTGGATAGTTATTCTTGATGATAATAGTAATAATGATAATAATAATAATACTAAGCTAGACGACATTTAGCATAGGCATTAATTAGTTGCTTTCGTTACTTGGAGGATGAGTATTTGGATTCGAATAATGTACGTAACAAACGCTCAATTGAACGGATAATATTAGTTATCGTAATCGTTATCGTAATCGTTATCGTTATCTGTTATCGAATTAAATTTAGCATAAATAACTAGGTTAGTTTTGTTGGATAGTTGCAAATCTCTCAATCTATATACAAACTTGACTTGAATTCATATTAATATCTAATAATAACAGCAGATGATGTTATGCAGCGCCCTCTAGCGTTGGGTAGCCTCCTCGTAGCAAGTCGTTCTGGCTTTTAGTTTTTTCCAAACAAAATGTCATAGGTTAAAACATGTACATAAAATCACAGTCTATTGTTTAGGAGATATATGTATATGGCAATAAATTTGACTAGACAAACAGACAGACAATTATTTAATTTTAAGGAGACGGGGTATACGACTTGCTCTCCGAGTTGGCGCTTGGCGACGACTCTACCAAAGGACATCGTAATCGTAAACATGCTCGGACGAGGCTATAATCAGACACTTGACAATCTCATCGAAGGAGCGTTTCAGTTTCCATTTGCTCGGCTTACGCAGCAGCTGCAACGACTTCAGCTTGATCTTGCACTTGGCCTTGTTATTCTTCTCGTTGTCGTTGTTGTTGTTGTTGTTGTTGTTGTTGTTGGACTCGTGCCAGGGACTGGTCGTGGTGGATGTGGCTTTGGTTTGCATTCGGGGCACATTGATATAGTCATGCTGGCGCAGCTGGTGCAGCGCCTGCAGCCGTTGCTCCTGATAGTAGTGATTCAGATTGGTCAAGTAGTAGAAGTCGCCATCGTTGATGACGTCGATTTCGGCATAGTTGCCGCCATCGCTCTCCGGCTGCTCTGCGATGGCTGTGCTGGATGCCTTGGCAAAGAGTTGATCAAATCACATGTTTTCATCGAACTTGGCAAAGTTGTTGTCCTCGTTCCACTGGAATTTATTGGCATCCGCACCGTTGCCGTCGTCCTCTTGGCCGGGCAGCACCGGTTCGTCGGGTGACTTAAAGAATTCGTCATCCTCGAAGGGATCCTCCTGCTTTTTGGCGAATATATTCACTGATTCGGATTTCTTGATCAGCTCCTGACGCTGCTGTAGCCTGCTGCTGCGCATGTTCTGCTTCCGGCTCGAGGCAGAGGGTGCTGCCGGCGAAGACTGGTCCTTGTCAAAGTCGAAGGAGGCCTTGGCAAAGTCATCCTCGAAAGCGGCATCATCGAACTGCGACACCTTCACGTTATCATCGAAGCGCAGCTTCTGGGTTATCGGCGGCGTCGAACTGGGCGCCGCCTCCAGGTCGAAGTTGCCATCCCGCTGCGGCTGCTGCTGTTGCTGCAGCTTCTCGCGCTCCGAGAAGTCATTGGAGAAGCGAAACAGAGATTTGGAGCCGAGCGTGCTGCTGGCCGAGATGAGCCCAGCGGGCGTGGAATTGCAGCTGGACGCAGTGCCAGCGGGCGCTGGCGGTGGCGAGCTCTGATTGAAGTCCGATTCGAAGCCATCGTCGAAATTGAATTTGGTGGTGCCGCCGCCGCCGCCGCCAACGCCAGCAGAGGATTCGCCACCGCTCATCATAACCGCAGTGCTGCTGGCATTCGATCGGGGCGTTGGCGTTTGCTCGTAGCTGTCCACGAAGCCATAGTCGCTATTGACGCCGCCGCCGGCTGTGCCGCGTGTCCGACTCTGTCCAGGCAGCTTGGCCAGCGCGGGCGCGTGCCGCTCCTGCTGCCGGCGCTCGCTCTCCAGCATGCGCTGATGCATCTCGTGGCGGCGTCGATTCAGACGCTCAAATTTATCCTCGTCTGTGGGCGGCTCATCGTCCACATAGTCCTCGTCGTCGTCGTCGTCATCGTCATCGTTGCGCTGGCAACTGATGTAGTCATAATTGTCGCGCACGCCACGCCCACTGCCATATCGTGCGCCCACGGTGGCCAGATCCTTGGTGCTGCGTGCGCGCGACTTCTTGCGGAATCTGCAAGCGCATCTTATGTAATTATCAAATTTTATCAGTTGGTCAGCGCCACATACCTGCGGTCCTTCTCGCCATCGGAGGGCGTCTGCGCCAGCGCCGCGGCGCGTCGGCTCTCGGCCAGGCGACGCTCCGTTTCCGCAGCGCTAGCTGGACGCTTCCAGGACTTCTGGCCGGGCAGCGTGGGCTCTGCGAAGGGGAGTTTTAATAGGCGCATGCTTGGAGTTCCGGAAGTGGACTTACCCTCACCATCCCAGGGACTGGAGCCGCTGCTCTTGCGCAAGCGCTGCGGTGCGCCTGGCACCACGTCGCCGCCCAGCTGGCTGGGTCGCTGCAGGCTGCGCTGCCGTTGAAAGTCCTGCTCCGAGTCCTGTTCGTAGTCAATGTCGCCGGCGACGCGCAGCTTGGCGGCTGACGTGGCCGGTTTGCGGAGCGAGCGCGTCTTCAACTCCCGATCCCGTTCGCGATAGTCGTCACGGCTGTCCAGGCTGCCGTAGACGTCGCCGCCGCTGCCAAAGCTGCGTCGCCGGCGCGTCGAGCTCTCGAAGGACTCGACGCTCTCGCGATCGAATGACTTGCGCTCCCGTTCGCGTTCCCTTTCCCTCTCCCTGTCCCGCTCGTATAGATAGTCTGGCCGCGATTTATAGGCCAGCCCCATGGGCGACCGTCGCTCCTCGTAGACGTTCTCGTAGTCAAAGTCGTAGCCCGGACGCGCATAGTCTCTGTACTCGCGCTCCCGATACTTGGAGCGTTCGCGCTCCCGCTCCCGTGGCAGCGGCTGGCCGCGCTTGTCGTACATGGGCGCCGGTGGGCCATAGCTGGAGCGCTCATAGGCGCTGCGCTCAAAGGAACGCGCGCGTACGCCCTGCTCGATCTCCTGCGGCGACCAGGTGTGATGAGCCGGATGATGGTACCAGCTGGGCGAGTCTACAATTGAGAATCGAAGAGTTTTAATGATTTGTCCGAAAAGAAATGGGAACAAGAGACTAATGGAAAAGTGAGACCCACCCAGTTCAAAGTTGTCCCTGCTGCGCGAGAGTCCATGCTTGAATTTGCGCTGCGTCTGTTCCCGATCTCGGCGAGCGCAGAACTCAGCGTCATAGCTGTAAGTGAAGCGAACGGATGAGTTAAGAGGAAATTGAGAGAGTTGGCAGCGACTTACTCGTAGTCCTCGTCGCAGGAGTTGAGGCGTCGGGCGTGGCGCATGTAGTAGCCGTGGGCATGCGGATGCGGTGCCAGCTGCGTGGGCGGTGGGAGGCCGCGGCGCTGCTGCTTCAGATACTCGGGCGTCTCGTCGTCCCAGGGACTGAGGTCGCGCGAGGAGGAGGACGTCTGTTGGCGCTCCTTTTTGGCCCAGCGGCGCTGCTGCTGCTGCTTGGACCAGCCGCCGGCATCGTCGCGCGGATCGGAGCTGCACGGCGACTCCGCGGTGTCCTGCTGTGACGTATTGGAGGCGGGTGGCGGCGGCAGCGTCAGACGTGCCTTGCCCTTGCCACCGCCAATGACCATCGGGCCGGCCACCTTGGGCGAATCAAAGGTGGCCCACGAGGGCTTATCCCGGTCGCGTTCGCTCTGCATCTGCTTGGTGGCCGTGTCAATCAGCTGCGACACGGCGGACAGCTGCGAGGCCACAGGCGACACACCCGCCTGGTTCAGTGGCGGTGCCGGCGATTTCTGGAGCGGAATGGGCGATGTGCTCACATCATTGAACTGCGAGGGCGTGTGCAGACTGTGGGCGGGGCCGCGCGATGGCGCCGCCGAGGATGTGGCCGGGGAAATGCGATCGCGCGAATCCAGCGACAGATTGGAGATGGCGCGCTGCATCAGCTCGTCGATTTCGATGTCGTCTCTGCCGGCACAGCTCGGCCCGCTGACGACGGTGAGGAACTTGTTGTCCTGCTTGGGCGGCAGCTGCTCCTCGGACTTAAACTCGGTCTTCTCGGCGCTGGTGGACAGTTTCTCGTACTGATCCTGTGCGCTGACTGGCTCCGCATCCTTCTCGTTGCTGTCCATGCTGCTCTCGCCGCCCGCATCCTCGTCATCTTCGTCGTCGTCGTCATCGGCAACGGTCAGGGCCGAGGATGAGGGCTCGGCTGGCAGGCCGCGGCTGTCGACGAGGCCGCGTCTGTCGTGGCTGCTGTCCATGATCTGGCGTATGTCCTGATCCTCGTTGAACTCATCACTGAACAGATCCTGCAGCAGATCCTTCTCGGCAACCGCAGCAGCCGCGCTCGGCGGCGGCGGCTTGTCAAAGAGATTCTCCACCAGAATAATGTCGCGCAGCGCCGCATAGCGATCCTTGGCCTGGGCGACCACCTCGGTGATCTTGGTGTCTATCTTGGGCGGTGCCGGCTCCATCTCCAGCTCGGCCACATCAATGTCCAGCTGTGCGAGCGGCTGCTGTTGCTGTTGCTGCTGCTGCTGCTCCTGTTGCGCTTCGTCGACGGGCGGTGGCGTCAGATCACCCATGAGATCCGTCTCCTGCTGCTGCTGCTGCAGCTCCTGATCAATGATCTCCCGGAAGACTGCGTAACGATCCGCAGGCGGCACAGCGGGCGCGGAGAGTGCGGGCGCCTCATTGAAGTTGGCAAAGTTGGCCACAAACGCATCCTGGCCCACATCCTCGCCGAAGGTATCATCGAACTTGGCCACGAACGAGGTCTGCTGATCAAAGTTCACCTTAAACACCGCCGAAGCGGACGAGGAGGCGGCAGCTGGAGCGGGACTCGCCCGGGATTTGGGCTGCGTTTGGTCGCCGCTCAGCTGCAGATACTCGGACAGATAGGCCGTCAGCTGGACGAGGGTCATGGTGCTCAGCTTGCTGGCGGGCACGTTCAGCTTCAGCGCCAGCTCGTCCATGCCCAGCGTGAGCAGCTGCGTCAGCGTGATGTCCGGCGCCAGTGCGGCCGACTCCTTCTGCGACTGCGACTGGGCCTGGGCAGCCTGGGCCTGCAGAATCTCGGCCTTGTTCTCGTAAATGTCCTGCGGCCGACCCAGCGACGATTGCCGCTGCGGACGTGCTCGACTGCTGCCGCTCTGCGTGGGCGGCGGCAATAGCGGCGGCGGCGTGCCGCCCAAGGGCGCCAGATAGTCGTCATCCGTGTGGCCGGGCTTGCGCGGTCGTCCCGGACCCGGGAAGCAGCCGTCGGAGCGGCCAACGCGCCGTGAGGGCAACGGGATGGGTGGGGCGTCGGCGCTGCGGCGCAGCTGATTGCTGGCATGGTTCAAGTACTCGTAACGGCCAACAGGTGGCGCTGCGGGCGTGGGCCTGATGACCAGATCGCTGAACTGCTTCTTGGGCGGCAGCGGCGGCGGCTCGGCATAGGGCGAGGAGTCGGGCCGCGGCGGCGGCTCCGGCGCCGCCTCGTTCTCGCTGAGCGAGTCGCTCTCCTGCAGGCGGCGCATATTGACGCTGGAGCCGACGCCGGCGGAGGAGTCACCGCGCTTGGAGAAGCGCGCCTGGCCAAACAAATGCGGCATCTTCTTGTTGCTAATGCTCGAGATGACGTCCAGTGGACCGCCCACATTGACCACGCTGGCCACGGGCGTGGGACGATGACGCACGCTGCTGACGGGCGCCGACTCCAGGCGCGAGATGTCCGCCTGCCAGCCGTCCGACTGCTGCTGCTGTTGCTGCTGCTGCTGCTGCTGTTGCTGCTGTTGCTCTGGGGGCAGCTGCACCTGGAGCGGACCATTGAAGACATTGGCAGCTGGAGTTGTGACCGTGGCCTGTGGCACATCGAACTCGAAGGCATCGAGCTTGGCAAAGAGATCGCCGTCCTGGAAGGGATCCGGATCGCTCTTCTTGCGCGTGGGTGAAAACGGATCCGTGTCGCGTGGCAGCAGCACGGGATTGGCATCCTCCTCGATTGTGTTGCTCGTGCTCGTGCTGGGCTCTGTGGTATAATAGTTCATGGCTGGATTAATTGGCTTGGACAGGGCTGCGCTCTGACGTAGCATTAATTTTAGTTTGGCAGCCGAAAAGTCTTCGACTTGGCCAAGGTATAAGACTGGCGTTTGGGTCTGGGAGTGGGTCTGGGAGTGGGTCTGGGTATGGGTTTGGGTCTGGGTTTGGTGCTGGTGCTGACTGCTGCTGCTGCTGCTGTGGGCGGGGGGCGTGGGACTGGGCTGGGATCGGGAGCGGGAGCTGTTTGTTAGTAGCAGGTGCTGTGGCCCAAGGCTCGCGGTGGTTATTAGTGGGATAGTTGTGGAGCTGCTGCTGCTGCTGTTGCTGCAACTGGCGGCGTTTCCTGCGCGATTCGTGCAAGTGCAAATGTTAGCCGTGTTAGTAAACGGGGCTAATTGGTGGGCGTGGTCAGTACCTGATGCAACGGCTGCTGTGTTAGTAATTGTTGCTTCTGCTGCTATTGTTGCTATTGTTGTTGTTGCGCCGTTGTCGTTGGTCTCCTCAAAGAGGGTGGCATCGCGGCCTGCCAGAAAATCATCAAAGTTATCGCCCTGACTGGAGCCGAGCTCCTTGAGCAGCTTCTTGGGCGGATTCTTGAGCTCTTGGAAGAAATATTTCTTATCGACATAGGGCCTGGTGCGCCCAATGCCCAGCGGATCCAGATCTGTGAACGCATCTGGCGAACCACGCAATTCGAGAGAGAAGCAGCGAGAGAGAGAGCGAAAGAGCGAAAGAGAGAGGGGGAGACTCGCTGTTAACAGAGACTCCAAAGAGTAAAAAAAAAGCGTGCACTTGTGCGAGAACTCAAGAGAAAAACGAAGAAAAACGTAACTCAACTGAACTGAACTTTAAATCAAGACCACAAATTGATGCGCAAAAACAACAACAAAACAACTTAAGGAGCGGTGCATTAGGGGTTAGTATGTGTTTAAAAATTAAAATATAAGGCCTTCAAAAGAGCTGCATTCACGATGGCAATGCTTGAGGAAGACTTACATCTATTCGGGTTTTAACTAACAGAACTTTGCCAAGAAATGTTAAAGAGTTTACAAGTTTCTTCCATATTCTCAAGTGATACATTGAATAATCAAAGCGCGCCATTAACATTTGCTTCTAATGTTAAGACAATGTTAACAGAAGCTTACTTTACACCACATTAAAGATTTAAAATTGCAATTTAAGCATTAAAAGTGTTAAGTGGAGGTAACATAACATTGCATATGCTCTGTACTCGTTCGTATATATGAAATATGCTGTATTATTAAACTCAATCCCATAAGATTATTTTAGAAAGCATACAATGCTTAAAAAGAAAATGGATATTACGGCATATAAATCCATTGAAGACAACAATTCCTGTTTCTGAAAGTTCTAAAAATGCGATCAACGTAATAACAGAATTTGAATTCAATTTTTAGCAACACAGACATTTACACACACTTTAACAGCCAATGTTAACAAAGTAACAGCAAGACTTTACATACTTTACACTCACACACTTTAACAGCCCATAACAGTTTTAATAACATTTTGCTTTAGCTCTAGTGTTCAATGGGTTCTACCAGCTCCTCCCTCCCCATGTAAATCTCCCGAGTTGATAAATATATATTTGTTTGCTATTTGTGCTAGTAAATTTCACTGTAAGTGAGAAATGCGACCAATTGACTACGACTCATTGAGCTCATCTGCTGGGTCTCAGCTGGCAATTGTCGCAGACCTGCTCGCACCAGACGCCCTGCCCCTTGCATCCATCGTGAATGGCAGCTCTCTTACGGATTGGCCGCTTGTGGCAATCATTTATTAACGAACTTCTTTTTGTGTTCAACAACTCACCCGACATGACCGCCGCTGCCGCCCCTGCTGTTGCTGTTGTCGTCGTCGTCCCCTCTGCTCCCTCTGGTTGGGCTGCTGCAGCTGCTCCCGTTGTCAGGCTGGTCAGAGCCCCACTTAACCCCACTTCGATGCCGGCCGCTGCTGCTGCTGCTGCTGTTGTTGTTGTTGCCGTAGCGGGCGCTGCGCAGATTTCGCTGATTTGTTGCGTGGGCGTTGCCGAGGATTCTCTGGTCGCCAGCGGCGCCATCGGCAGTCCGGCCAGCACAGCTGCCGCTGACATGGGCGTAGGCGTGACCGTCACCTTGGTGGTGTCAAAGACATCGTTCTGTTGGTGCAGCTCGTGCAGCCAGCCATCATCGTCATCCTGTTGCAGAGTGGCCGGTGAGCTGCTGGCGCCAGGCACCGGCGAGAGCAGCGTGTCCAGAGCTGTGCTATCGGGCGTCTTGCTAGGCTGCTTGTGGCGCGTACGGCCAGAGTCGGGTGGCGGCGGCAAGATGTTGTACGAGGGCACATAGATGAAGGAGTCGCCGAAGGGATCATCCTCGCTGGCCGACTTGGTCAGCCCTGCGCCCGACTGTGATGTGCCTGGCTCGTTGGGCGTAATGCGCTCCATTTGGCTGATGCCGCGCTGCAGCGAGGTCAGCTCCTGCTCCAGATCGACCAGGTCCGCGACGGATTCCGGCGAGATCTGCAGAGGATAGAAGTCATAAGTGGAAAGGAGAGATAGAGTTGGGGTAAGGGCAGCTACTTACCTCCTTCGCCGCACCGCCAGCTGCCTTGTTCACATCGAGATTAACACCGAGTCGCGTGAGGCCGACACCATTCGAGGAGCCGGCGCCCAGCATGCTGAGACTAGAAGCATGCGCTGCCGCCGCGGAGCTGCTGCTGCCGGAGGCGAGCTCGCCGTGGCCAGCCTTCAGGGAGGACAGGTTGGCCAGCTGGCTGGCATGATCGTGCAGGGTTTTGCCTTGGATCTGCTGGCGCGCCATTTCGATCTCTTTCTTCTTCAGCTCGAAGACGACCTGGAAGAGATCGCGCATGGCCAGCACCACCTGGCTGGCCGCCTTGTCCGTCTTGATGCCAAAGAACCGATGACCGCTGTCCGGTGACCCAAATATGTAGCCAAACGCACGCGAATCCGTCATATCCTGCGCTATGAACGAGATCTTGTGCACGGGATGATGGTAGAGCGAGTCGCTGGTCTTCTCGTCCCGCAGCCGCAACCCTTCGATGGTCACATGGATGATGATGCGCTGCTTGTGCTCGCCGGCGGCGCGTATCGCCATCTTCAGATCCTGCAGCGCCTCCTGGCACATGCGATCGCCGCGCGCCTCGCCCACCTCCAGAATGCCAATCAGCTTGGCCTTGAACTGGACGCCATCCCCAAAGAAGCGCCCGGGATCATTGCGATCTGAAAGTTGTGGATAAAAATTCAGAAAATAGATGTTCCATCATATTTGCTGTGCTGTGTGTGCGTGTGTGTGTGTGCGTGTGTGTGTAGGAAAAATAAACAAACGTTTTGCGTAATTCGTCTCCTCCGGACCACTGGAGCCGCCAATGCCGAAGGTTTGGGCCAGCGAGAGATTTGAGGATGCTTGCAGCTTGGAGACAAGCGACTTGACCATTTTGTTAGCCACAAACTCAGCTCAGAACATGCTGTATCTATGTATCCATGCGCGTGTGTGTGTGTGCGTCTGCATCTGTGTGCTACATTCAGAGTATTTCCATGGCAAACACAAAGGCCAACAATGCGCACAAGCACAAACAATAATAACAAATAAAAACGATTTGCGCGACGTTTTTTGGACTTTAATTAAAAAAGAAACGAATAAAAACAAAAAAAAAAGAACTTCGGAAAATGTCGAAAAAGTAACAAAACGCGTGACAGCGCCCGCATCCGCAGCCGCTACGATTCGCGTTCACGGAATGAATGAATGACGACAGCGATGCGCGATGCTGCGCCCTCTGCTGTGGGAGTGGGAGAGCAGAGCACAAACACAAACACACACACACACGTGCAAGAGCACTGGAATTTCACTATTATTTTGCGGTGTATTCAATGCTAAATCAAAAACAACAAAATGTTTGCATGGAGAGCGCGCGAGCGAGCGAGAGAGAGAGAGAGAGCGCGCGCACGGTTGTTGTTTGCTAAAAATCTGAACGCAGCTGCACCACCTGCCGACAGCGACGGCAGCGGCTGCAGCAGCAGCGACGCCGGCGCAGCAGCTGCCAGTTAAGCGGACTAAAAACGATCAGACACGCTCATCATGCAGCACCTGGTGCAGGTATTTAAATTTGTTATCGATAACACACACATAAAGAAGCATTAAAATTTAACAAAAACAACCACAACTTCTTAGAGATCGAGAGAGAGAGAGCAAGGTAGCGCGCGCTGTTTTTATTTGCTTAACAGTAGCAGCGACGCCGGCGCAGCAGCTGCCAGTTAAGCGGCCCAACGACGATCAAACACGACCGTCATGCGCCACCAGGTATTTAGTGTATTATCGATAGATTTTTATGTAAAGCTTTTAAAATTAATAAAATAAGTGTCAAATGGAACGTACACTTACAAGGACTTGTTTTCTTGCGCAGCGTTTGCATGGTTGCCAGTAAAAACGGGTTGTTTACATACGTGTGGCGTCTAATGGCTGCGGCTTGCTGCCTGCGCGGAGGGCAGCTCTCAAAGGGGGAAGGTAAATAGTACTGTGTTTTTAACGTAATTATGTAGTAGACAGGGTGGGTCCAAGTCTACAACATGCGCTGTCGTCCTGGCTGGCTGACTTTTGACATTTGAGCGAGAAAATGTTAAATCCGTATTTCCACTTGTCTCCGTTTGGCACCTTCTTGCACTTCTCGTTCGTGTGTTGCTCCTGTTACTTCTCGTTGTTGTTCTTCTTGTTGTTGTTGTTGTTGTTGTTGTCGATAGCACCCGCCGGCATTACAAATACATACGCTCACGGCAAGATTATCGATTTTTCAATCGGCAATGTTGTGTATTTCTTTTTGGTAATTTGCCTACTTTTTGGCGTCTTAAGTTACACAGTCCACGCCTCTAAATATGCAGCAAGATTGAGGCTTGAATAATCAATATTTTGCGTACTTCACGAGCACTTTTACAATTTATTAAGATTGCTTTAGTATAACAAACTTCTATTTTATGCAAACTTATGAGTGAACTGCGCTTAGAGCTGGCCTTTTACATTGTATTAATTGCTAGACAGTCGTACGTGATATTATGCACCGTCAGGTCACAGGACATTGGTGAAAATGCGTTTATTGCTCTTAATTAACGATTGATTTATCATTTATTCCAAGTCGACTTAATTCGTTACGTTTGGCAAGCCTTTTGTCATTCACTTAACTATATAATTGATATTTGTATGATTTTTGTGAATATTTGTATATCCGCCCACGGAGCACGAAGTGGTTACAAAAAAATCTCGATAGTAAACTCCAAGGATACAAAAAGTGGGGTGCTTTTTATGTGCAGCACCCTGTGCCAGCCGGCATATGTGTTATCGAATGATTACATTCGTTCGCAACACTGCACGATAGGAATTGCAGCGAGTTAACAGATAATTTTAGTACCATGATGTTAGACAGTTTCGTTCTCTCTCTCTCTCACCTTAACATGACCATTTGAGCGCAACATACTCCAAGCCCCAAAACGTTTACAGCATGTTATGCGTCATAATTGTTGTTGTTTCGGCGAGGTACGGACGTGTTTATGCGGGTGCGCAGCGTGTAAATTTTGATTGAACAAATCCACTAATTAATAAACATTAACATCGTTGCCATTAATTGTTGAATACGAATTGCGTCTAACAGCATTTTGAAAGCGCAACTGTACAAGCACCTGTCGTTGTCTTTCTCTGAGTAGGAGTCGTGCGCGCGTCGCTTAGCTGCAGTCGGAGACGGAGACGGCCACAGTTGAATATTTAAAAGTTTACCCGCTTGCAATTAGTGAAAAAGTGTTAACTGTGTGTTCGTGTGTGCGTGCGTGTGTCTGTGTATATATATATACGAAAATCAGCGACGAAGCAAACCAGTTAGTTGCCATCCAGTTGTAACAGATTTTTGTTCAAATCTCAGTAGCTTTGCAGTGTTAAATGTTAATCCTGGCCACACACACACATACCCAACAATAGTTCAAATAGATTCCAATTCTTGGCAAATAGTTTTTAAGCTGTGTTTGCCAGCCGATCGCTATGCGAAACTAATAATCGACTGTATCAAGTGTTGCTAAATTCTAAAAATCTGTGTGTCCCCCGATTCCCACTCAGAAAGTGTACTGAAACAGCGAGAAGATGAATAAAACTTGTGCCCGTTGCCAAAAGGTGGTTTATCCCATTGAGGAGCTCAAATGCCTGGATAAGGTGAGTGACAATTAACAAATTTTCTATTTGCAACTGGAGGGAATACAGGAAATTCAGTGTTTTATGTTTTATTTTATGTATTGGCATTTTTTTCTTCTTTCAATTTTGCTCCTTTGTTTTATGCCGCTGCTTCGCACTTGTTGTATGCGCGCGTTAGAGCGAGACGGCTATCTAGCCACATGGCCACTGCTCTCATTGATCATGCGTATCGTTTGCTCTCGTGTCCGTGTCCGTGTCGCTTGTTTGTTGTTTCTGTTTATTATCCTACGCAATTCGTGGCCTGTTGTTGTGGGCGCAGAGCAGCGCAGCGCAGCTTTAATAATTACGAACAACAAACGTGTGCGAATAATAAAACAAAAAGTTGTTCGGCTAGTTTGCTGCGGCTGCGCAGCAGATTTTGTGTATGCTTCTTGGAATTTAGTTTCAGCTAAATAACGGCACATCAATTTCATTCCATTGACTATCTACATACATATGTGTGCGTGGGTGTGTGAGATTGCGCGGGTGGCTGCTGCTGCTTGTGCATGCAACAAATTTTTCAATTTTCGCCAACTCAGGAAATTGAAAATTGCTTTTAATTTGCGTCGCCGCTGCTTCCGCTACCTTTCTCTGCCTCCTGCCTCTTCCCTTCTTTCGCAATTGTCTGTGCCAATTTGCGTAAATTTTGCGTATGAGCAACGATGACGACGTCGACGCCAACGAACCGTTGCAAACTTGCAGCGCAGCTTTTGATCTCTGCTCTCTGCAAGCAATATACATATAAATAAGAAACAATCCGTTGACTGACCTTGAGCACATATTTCGTTTCCAGTTTGGCATTCTCTCTCACACACACACACACGCAGTTATTAGCTTTGCGGTCATTGCGTTGCTTTCTTCTTGTGCTTATTGGTTTATGCTTAATTCCAGTTTATTTTTATTGACCGTCCGGCTGTCTGAGCTGAGTTCTCTTTGCGTTCCGCCTTGTATACATTTTCGCCCTTCAAGCTTGTGTAGAGTTGATTTGTTGCCCACGAACTGTTACTCGAAATAGTTGTGGTGAGATTTGAAGCTCTTCTACTCCAAATAGGTAAATACATGCATAATGTAGGTACATATGTGTGCGGAAACATACTCAGCTGATAACGGACACAGACAATTGTCATTTCATCATTCGTCAAATTCCATTCGAAAGCCTTGTTGTAATCAGCTCCAACTATCAGCAGCTGCGATGTGTTCCACATCACTTGCATCTCCCCCTCACGCCCCACGTCCGCTGCTCTTAAGCGTTTGTCTAATTATAGTCAAGAAGCGCTACACGCTCTCTTGCGCTCTCATGTCTGACTCTCGGTGCGTCTAATTTTAGCTGTGGAGTAATGAAAACTATTTAAAGTCTACGAAATGAAGTCAGTTATAAAATATGCGCGAGGCCTAATGGAAATGTTGAAACGTGTAAATATCAACTCAAAGATTTGAAACTTGAGGAAACTCGAGACAACAAGCTGCAGATATTTATGTATCTTACACACATGTGGGCCAGACAAATAAGTCGAAATCTACTTTGGGCCCGTTGCATTTGTTTTCATCTCGTGTTTAACTTGCCGCCCATGACTCGACTCTGTCAGTCCGGGCATTAGGCTGTTCACAAAATATGAACAATTGTATTTCATAACAATTCTTAGATAATAAACAATTTGACTCATAGGCGTTGTTTAATAAACAATGGAAATGTTTTTCACTTAAAATTGAATTACAACTTGGCTTTTATGACGCATATTTTCAGTGCGAATTTCGCAATAGTTCGGTTTCAATTGTCTCGTCAAATATATATTATATGAAAAAATGAAGCATACGATTACCTCATCAATTGTATATGGAAATATATAGAACTCAGAAATTAGAACCTGCAAATAAGAATTGGAATTTACAAAGACTCCAGTCTAAAGTTCTTATTTAATAGAACACATTTTAAAAATTTGGTCTAATTCGAAAAAGGGTATTTCACCTTCGGGTTTTCTTAACTTTAAATTTAGTTGGCAAAAGGAGCGACTCATTCCCCCCCCATTTCCAACCGTTTCGTAGTGAAAAGTTTTGTTCCATTTCCTTTGCGGTTGCCGCTCTGCACGTGACATATCCTGATATAGAAATCGATACTCGTGACAGGCAATAAACGGGCATTTTATACCAATTATCTCTGCACACACAAACACACACATGAGCACACACTGAAAAGTTTGTCTTGTAAATAAAGAAATGCTTTTTAAATGCCGTTAAAGTTGAGCAGCGCTGCTCGCATTTAGCTGCCGGCGCTTTGTTAATCGATTTTTGATACCAAACTTCACTCAACTTGTCGCCGTTGTCGACTCCGCAGTCGCAGTCGACGTCGCTGCCTCTGTCTCTGTCACTGCCGTTGCCAATTTCATTTATCTGACTTTTTATTTGGCAAACACACGAATGTGTGAGTTTTAGTTTTGCCTGCTTTTTGAAAAGGGGTAATACGAATATATGCAAATTTGTGTGTAACGCGCAAAAATAGAGTATAAAGCATATATATTCTTGATCAGCATCGGGTAGATCTCACGAGTTTCGACTGACATCGATAAATATCGATTTGAAGTTGCGGTTTTTTGATAGATCTTTTGCATGTATGCACGAATGTATGTTAGGGCAGCGTAAGCTTGATTACAGGGTATCCTCCTGGTCGATTGGACTCGCCTTCTCGCTTGTTGTTGTTGCTGCTGCTGTTTTGCTTGGCTGCGGCGGCTGCCACGACATACGATTATTTTATGCTCGCAACGAAAGTAAATGACCTCTTTGTTGTCAGCCCAGGGGGGGAAGGGAGGGGGTCAGGCGGCAGGAAGCGGGCTTAACATTTTGGCCAATTCGTGCAGTGTGGCACGAGTCGGCAGTTAGTGTTGGGCGAAGAGTGGGGCAGCAGCAGCAGCAGCAGGAGGCAGGCGGCAGCGCAACGAAGCGCAGCGTCAAATCCAAAAGCGTCCTCCATTTGCTGCAACTTCGTTTGGCACTTACCGAGTTGCAACTGCGACTGCAGCTGGAATCGGTGGAGACACCGATGTCGTTGCTGCCCCTGTCATGGCACACTTTTCGGCCTGTCGCTTTGTTGAATGTTTTAATTTTTGCATTTGCCCCATGACAAATGACTACAGCGACAAACTTGGACGGCGGCGCTGACGAGAAAGCCATCTTCAGCCCAACTCATGTTCCTTCTTGCCACTCTTTGATGCTGCCACAATGTGCGGCACTTGAAAATCGTTTCCGCTTTCGAATTTGCCACAAGCAGAAGGAACAGAATGTGAGGCTTTTGCTGCACAGATTAGTGGCGGAAACGTGACACGACAAAACATTAAGCTAAAAGAATTTTAAGAATATTTTAATTATCTGTTTTATGTCAAATTAAAACAAATTAAATAAATATATATAATTTAGCCAAAAAGCCGCTTCATATTGATTAAACTTTTGAGCGTGCGTGTTTTCAAATTGTTATTCGTGTTCATTTCGACACGCGCCCATCACTAGCCAAGACAGAGCAACAGCAACAACAACAACAACCACATTGACAATGACAATAGTTTTTATTTATTTTTTCTTCCACTCTTGACTGGACTCTCAACTCTGAAAGCGAAGTTCACTTTTGCATGACAAACCATTTTCTGAGTGCTGCCCTCTGAATGTTGCCCCCCTCCTCACTGCACCCATGCTCCCTTCCTCCCCTCTGCGCAGGCACTACTCTGCCTTCTATATGTACAACATATAGACAGCCTCAGAAAAGGGCGCTGCAATTTCATAAACAATTCAGGCATGAAAATAAAAGTGGTCAAGCAGCGGCAGAGGCAGCGGCAGCAGCTGCAGCGTCGTCTTTGACTAATCGCTGCTTTGCATCTCCTTATCTTCATTTCCTTTCTCACACACACACACACACACATGCTTGTTATTTCACTTTGTGCTTTGTTTTGCTGCTGTGAGAACTTTTTGCGGCATTATGCAATTGATGTGGCAGCTTTTACCTTGTCCTCCTCCTGCTTTCTACTTCTTTTTTCTTCTTCTTTTCTCTCCCACTCACTTTCGTTGCACCTCAATCAAAGCCCAAAGCCCGACTTTCAGCTCATCTTTTATGCTCCAATTTCTCGTAATTAGCCGCTTGGTTGCAACATTTTGCAACCTATTTGGCGGCTGCCGATTTTTACATTTGACAAAAACAGATTTCGATTGCCAAATGAAAAACAAAAGCAACGACGAGTTAAGGTTTGTCCTACGAATTCCCAAGCTTCCAAAATGAACCCATTTCTTGATACTAGTTTTCATTTGCTAATTATTAACTTTTTGGATTATGTTTGCAGTATTTTGTTGTTATTTTTTAAATACTTTTTCATATTTATCCTACGGTCTCACCTAATTTGATGTATTAACAGTTATAATGTTTGCATATAAATTTCTCCGCCTTCATTAAAATGGAAATCTTAAGGGCCGCAAAGGTATTTGGTTTGCTAGGTATACAAATGCATACACACCAATACACACACACACACTCACATAGATTATTGCCAGACAAGTTTTCTATGCTTGAATTGTGTTTTTTTCTTTTCATTTTGTTGTTGCATTTTAGCTTCGATTTGCTTTGGTTTTGTGGCCCAATTTTTGCATTGAAAATGTACAAAATAAAAACGAATTTCTTGTTCAACTCTAGAAGTGGAAGCTGGAGTCTCAAAGTGGAAGTCGAAGTTTAAATTGCTGCTGGGCAAGCTTTTGGGCACGGACTTTTAGTTATTCGCCTTGGGCATTTGGGGCTTTCGGCTTTGGGGGCTTTCCCTCAATTAAATGTTTCCCATTGTTATTTTTCAGCACAAACATTTTGACTAATGACCAAAACTAACTGATGAACGAGTCTGTTGTGTGAATTGAGTTTCTGTGCACATATTTTGGCTACCTGTCTGTCTGTCTGTCTGTCTGTCTGTCTGTCTTACTGTCCCACTGTCTCGCTGTGAGCTTACTGTTTCCGGCCA